TTTATTTTTACTTTTTTTTTGTTGTTGTTATTGGCTTTTGGGTTTTTTTTTTTTTTTTTGCCTTGAGTTAAACATTGTTCATCCTTAGTCAACAATTTTAACTGATAGTCTCCTCTCTCTCTTTCTCTCTCCTAGTCCCCTATACTCAGAAATGGCAAGTCCTAAGCCTTTAGGCCGCATAGAATATAGACCTTATAGTCTTTACTTGACAAAGAAGGTTGAAACAAGCTAACACAGTTTCAAAGCTCCAGAGACTGACTGGGAAACTGTTCCCAGAAGATGACTCAGACATTAGCTAGGAAGCTAGAAAGATTAGGGATTTTATTAACTAGAGAGCTGAGGGAATGAAAGAACAAGAGAAATGGACAAGCAGATTTGCAGTCACATCCTTGGGTGAAGCTGATTCATGTCTCCGTTCTGCAATTGTGCCTAAATCGCCATGCTTAGGCGTTTGCATTACATCCCAGGAGTTAGCTGTGAAAAAATAGCTGCTTTCAAAACTGACTAGATTCAGTGGGTTGAGGAAGAGCTGATCTTCCTAAAACAAGGAACTCTAGATAGGCTGACTAGATTCAGCCGATGGACAAGCACTGGGGAATGGCTGGGGGTGCCGTCAACACAGTGGACAGTAACGGGTGACAGAGTACATGGGCTCCAGTGGTGGGCGGCAAATTATTTAACTTCTTATGCCTTACTTTCTTTTTCTGTAAAATGAGGACACTAGTACTTTATAAGGTAGTGTGTGATATATGCTGTAAGATAGATCTTATTAAAAAGAATAGAAAAAATGGTCAGGCATGATGGTATATGCAATTAATCTCAGCAGTTGAGAGGCAGAGTCAGGAAGATCTCTGCTCTGTGAGTAGAGGTTAGTCTGGTCTACACAGCATGTTCCAGACCAACTAGGACTACACAGTGAGAGCCTATCTCAAAAATTAAATAAAATAATCTAAACAAAACTAAAAAAAACCAGTAATGAAGACAAACCATCTAATTATGAAAGTTACACACACATGAATGATAAGAAGCAAGTTTAGAGCCAATTTTTAAGACACTGAAAAATATCTCTTCCACAATTTTTAAAAAATACTTATCTCCGTGTTATATGAGTACTTTCTATGAGTATTTTCTGCATATATATGTGTATGTACTATGTGCATGAAGTACTCATGGAGTATCAGAAGAGGACATCAGATTCCTGGAACTGGAGTTTCAGGTGGTTGTGAACTGCCATGTGGGTGCTGAGAAGTGAACCCAGGTCCTCTGCAAGAGCAGCAAGAGCCCTGAACTGCCGAGCCATCTCCCCAGGCCCTCCATAATTTGTTCTTAATATGACCATTTATATCTTCTTCAACTACAGCACATCACACACACACACACACCACACACACACACACACACACATACCACACACACACACACACACACACACATTTCCAAATAGTGTCTGGCATGTGCTTACACACTAATACATGTGTATTAATCAAGGACTTATTATATAAATGGATTCTGGGAAATTTTATTACTCCACACTGATAAGTTGTTCTCATTCTTACTAGCTCAAGTACTTTAAGTATGACATATTGTTTGATGAATCACAGAAAACATAGTTTTAAAAAATGTGAAACTGTTTTCAACAACACTGAAAGACTACCTTAATTTTCATAGAATCCTTGATGACTGAGTGAAACCAACCTTGGCCCTGAAAAGACTCATGGGTCCTGTGATAGTTCTGAACTGCAGCAATGACACAAGAAGACGTGTCCTTAGAGTCCTAGTCTAGACTGCCTGCCTATCACGTTTACTGTGTGTGGCTATGTATTTTCGTTGTCCACCTGTTTGGAGCTACAGTACCATAGGCTGTATTTCACTGGGGATGTGTAGAATAGAAGAGGGGTGAGAATATCTAATTAATAGTAAAGAAATGGAACTAAAGTGTGCAACCAAATTGTATATTTTTAAAGTTTTTACATTTTGAGACTATCATACATGAATGTTGTATTTACATCATTTTCACCTTTCCTCCCCCTCCAACTCTTCCCACATCCCCCCGATACTTCCTCTCAATTTTATGATGCCTTCTTTTTTCATATATATTTCATATATATTATATTTATATGTATATAAAACCTACTGAGACCATTTAGTTGTACGCATGTGTACATGTGTTTAAGGCTGACCACTTGGGATTAGATAATCTATCAGGGATCTTATCCCCTGAGAAAACGTACTCTCCCTCTCTCAGCATCCCCGACTTCCTATAGCTTTTCATTTAGGGAGAGTATCGAGTGAAATCCCATGCTGGTATGTTGACTGGTGGTGTTGTGCAGGTCTTGTTAGGCTGATATTTCATGGGTGCAGCTTCCCTGTGGTGTCTGGGAAACACTGTCTAGCAGCTAACATCCTGGTCCTCTGACTTAAAATCTTTCTACCTCATCTTCCTCAATGTTTCCTTAGGTGTAGGGGTTACGTTGTGGATGTATCAATTGGGGCTGGGCATGCCTAAGTAATTTTTTTCTCTGCATTTTTGACCAGTTGTGGATCTCTGAAATATTCCAGATCTGTTGTAAAAAGCTTCTTTGATGAAGGGCGAGAGCTACACTAATCTTTGGATATAAGGGTAAGTATTTAGGATATTGTAAGAAATTATTTTGGTTTAGGAAAGTGGCAGTACTGGGTTCTCCTCTAGTGTCTGTGACCTTTACCCACAGATATTTGGCTACATTAACTAAGCATGAATTCCTTCCTACTGAGCCAGCCTTAAGTCCCATTAGATACTTTTATCTTTACCCCTCAAGATGAAAGTGCTACTATTGCACTATTAGGGGCATTTTGTTGGACTGGTTATTATTATAATTCACAAGCTTTATAGCTGGATAGGACTATTCATAGCCTCTCCCCTTGGAAGCTTGACTAGCACCTTCCAATACTATGAGAGCTTGTCCTCAGGGAGCAGGCTTCTAAGTCAGTTCTAGCTCAGTTTCTCCAAGTCTTGTGTCTGGGTGTATCATGTCTTCAGCAATAGGGTCTTACCTTCAAGTTCTTGGAGGAACCAAAGCACAATGGCAAACAGAATTCTGTTACTCAGAGGGGATTATAGATTATACATACATGCCACTGTGGTCCTCTTCTCTCCACTGTGCTATTCCATTCCATTCTTCAGTTTTTAACATCACTGGGCTATTGCTATCAGATAATACGAATTGCCAGGAGAAAGGGTCTCAGGTAGACCAGGGCTGATCTTAAGTTCACTATGTAACTGAGGATGATTTTGAACTTCTGATCCTCTTGCCTCCATCTCCTAAGTGCTATGATTACAGAGTGGTACCACCATGCCTAATAGGTGCTCAGAACTGAACCTAGGGCTTCATCCATGCTAGGCAAGCAGTCTACCAATTGAGCTTCTTTCCAGCCCCACCCCCAATTTATTTTATGTAACTACAATTATAACTCTGTAAGTACTTTAATAGACAGACTTGGATTTGATTCCTGTGCTACTTTTCCATTTCATCTTCAGCTTTGGTTTCCTCTTACACAAAGTGATAACAATAGTAGTCACTGCTTCTACGCTTGGTATACAACTTTTCACAACAGGAGTTTAGAATTCTAGCTATTATCAACTCATTCAGAGTCCATACGAGTTACATTAAACTATGCTGTGGTACTATATTAATAATTGTTTTTCTTGGATTTAAGAAAACCCAGAGTTTTCATAGTTTGTGTTGAAAATGGTCATTTATTCCTTCTTCAGATCGAGTATATTGGTGCTACCCCTAGACTTAGCTATAGCTCAGCAATATCTTTGGATGAAATAGAGCTCGGTATTCAGTCATTATTTATGCACAGTGAAGGAGCCATAGCCTTATAAGAACCCTAGAAATGGCTGTCTCAGCAAATGTGCTGACACCTATGTGTTAAGACCACTCCCCAGTAACAGTTGGCTTCTATGGCACCTGAACAGAGAGAGACTTTCCCATAGTTCCTGAAAGCAGAAAAATGCTGAGTAGTTAAGAATTCCAGGTTTGTGATTTGTTTTATCTTTTAATTTCCAGTAAATCTTAAAAGTTGCCTCTAGAATTGTTTCTCTCTTCATTAAAGTAACTAATGGACAAATTTAGGCTAATCATGTGATTTCATATTAACATCTAAAAGTTTGATATTTGTTTGGTTTACAAGGCTGATGATACAATATTCTAACATCTAAAATGTCGTTGTTTCATTTAGTAGTGAAGACAATAGAGTTAAAAATAAAAATTAAAAAAACAGCCCCTTGGAAAAGAGGGACTTTAGAAGAGGAGTCCAAGACTCATCACAAGTGATCAATGTGATCACAAATGGGGAGGAAAATTTGTCACTGTACATTCTCTTGTTTTAGAAACGCACACACATATGCACATTTGCATGTGTATGTATGGTGTGCCTTTGTGTGTTCACGTGTTTGCATTTGTGTGCATGTGTTTGTAGGAAGGGGCAGACTGATGTTGAATGTCTTTCTAAATTGTTCTCTCTATTTACTGAGGCAGAGTCTTCCACTCAACCTGAAGCTTACAGGTTCAGCTAGGCAGCTTGCCTCAAGACTCAGTAGCTGCCTCCCAGGAATACTGGGATTATGTGTACTAAGTATTTATATACGTAGGTACTATGGATCCAACTCTAGCCCTTAATGCTTGTGCTGCAAAATGCTTAATGCTTTACCTACTGAGCTATTTCCCCAGCCCCTGGAATATGGGAGAAAGAGCCATTCTAATTGCTTGGCACTGTGTTATGTGCACTGGGGAAATACTGGGGACATCATATTAGTCTCTGGCCTCAAAAACTTTCAGATTTAGCAAAGTAGAGTGACTGGCCATCAGTGGTTACATAATAGTATCTCTTCAAGTTGATATTGGGGGCAGTGGGGGTGCCATATCATTGGAGGACAGGAAGAAATTAAGCTCAAAACAAATACAATAGAGGCTCCTCAGTAAAGAACACACAATTTTAATACATAAAGGGTTTTTCCTCCTAAAATCAAACACACTTAACATTTCATATAATACAATAAAACAGCTTTGTTCTCCAAAATATCTTTTCTGAGGCTCAATCATTACAAGATACGTGAAATTAAATATCTTAGCATGACTTGACTGCTCATCACTCTATAATAGTGTAAGATTAATAAAACTCCAAAGGTCACATTGTTTGTACAAGTTAAGATTGGCTGGCTATATGAAATTTTTAGGTACAGATCCCTGCTATTTGGAATGAACATTCTTTAACATTGTCCTTGTGTCCTCTGCCACAAAAGAGAGACAGTGAGAGTTTAAAAGTTGCTATATAGGCACTGCTGTATAGAAAATACATTTTATGTTTCTACATAGTATAAGCTTGAAATGCTCCAAGGGTTACATGTTTGTGCCAGAAAGCTTGACAAGCACTGAATGGTCTTATGAAGGATAGAAAACCTTTTGACCATCAATTCCAATGTATGTGATTTAACTATCTGCAGCAGAACTAACTTACTTATTAAGCTAATTATGCTAAAATGCTTTGGTTGTCAGGTACAGGGAAAGATCTGAAATTAGGGAACTGCCTTGTCACTTAATTCTTGTGGGTGGCCTAACTCCCTATGATATTCAGAGCTGAAAATGCATTCTTTTTGCATCTTTTTCTTAAGTGATACTCAATTAGGAGGAACAAATTAAGTCCTCTGTTTAAATAAGAAAAAGTCATTGCTGAATGACTTCAGTCTCTCTTTTGACTCCAGAATATTCTGAAAGGTGACTTTCTTGCTGTTACCCTTGTAACAGACTAAACGAAGCTGGTCCAGTCTGTTGGCAATCTCATCTAATCTCGAAGGCCACATAGCTTGAGAATATCAGGTAGCTTCTGCTTTTGATGTCAGCTCATGCAGTGCTTCAGAGAATTTCATGCTGACAGGATAGTGTAAAATTATCTTTATGCCATATGCATAACTTCACCAAAAGGAAATCTGGTCAAAATGATTACTAGAAGACTTCAAGCCCAAGCATTTTGATCCAATATCATGTCAAGATATTCCAAGTCATCATGGCAAACAGTAAAATGCTACTTAAGAAAGTCCTGGTCTTCCCCCAGGTGATTTCAATCCATTCCCTGGGAGAACAGGTGATAAAAACATGTGGCAGGTTGTGCTTGCTTTTCCACAGATCTCATCTGGAACCATATGCCCCAAGTGGTTTCAGATTTTTTCATTGTCATCATTATTGATTTTTTTAAATGCGACTGGGCTTGCTTGCTTCAAAGAAGTCTTGGAAACATCTGTATGCATCGTAGACATGGCTATGGTCTCGTAATCATCATCTCGAGACCGGAAATCACAAAAGTTGAAGAAGAACTGCAAGTCTCTCTGGAAGTTTTTGTTCAGGAATCCATAAAAGATGGGGTTGACACAGGTGGATAGCATGGCAGTGAGGTGGCAGAGCAAGAAGAGGAGGTTGTGGTTGCAGGTGGCGATGATCTGGTGGTTCCAGTCAAACACAGTGTTGAAGATGGTGAGAGGCAGCCAGCAGACGGCAAAGGCAACCACAATGGAGAGCAGCATGATGTTGATCCGTTTGGTCTCACTGGACCTGTACTTGTTGTCTCTCATCTTCTCCATCATGTTGTTTCTCCTTTTCAAACGAATGTATATCTATGAAGGAAGAAATGGGTGAGTTCAAGGAGAGCTAGGGGAAATCTGCAGAAAGAAGGTAAAAGAAAGGAACTGATGGAGGGTGGATGAAAAGTTGTCTTACCTTGAAGTAGCCTATAAATATGAAGCAGAGTGGCCCGAAATACTGTAGCACCAGGAGGAGAGTTGTGTAAGACAGCCTGTGAGAGTCTGATGGGAATTTATCAAAGCATACGTACTTGTCCTTGAATGCAGCGAGTGTTACGTTTTGGAAGGGCTCATCAGTCAATACCTGATAGATCAGGAAGGGCAGAGAGGAAGCCACAGCCAGGACCCAAATGACCGCGATACCTATGTAAGCGTGTCTGTTATTTGGTCTCCATCCTCTAGGGTTAATGATCAGCTGATGCCGTTCCACAGCTATGAGAACCAGAGAGAAAATGGACACTGTGATGGAGACACATTGCACAAAAGGATTGAGTTTGCACATGGTCTCACCGAAGACCCAGTGGTCCATCAGCGTGTAGACAAAAGTGAAAGGGAGACACATGATGGCCACCAACAAATCTGAGAAGGAAAGGTTCACGATCAGGATGTTGGTGACGTTTCTCATCTCTTTCTGTTTCAGGATGATGATAATCAGAGCCAGGTTTCCAGAGACCCCAAGAATGATCACAGCCCCGTAAGCGAGAGCCAAGGTAAATATCACAGCCAAGGGCAGGTGACAGTCATCGTCTTCGAATGCGAGAAGCGGAGAATTCTCTGTGATGTTGTAGTGAACTGACTGATTTTCAATCTGAGAGACTAGTGTTGAATTCATTTTCTCTGCTTTTGCTGCCACAGATTAGACAAGCGGACTTTATATTTCTTCTCAATGGGTCAAACCAGCTTATGCCATATATTGGAATTCATTTACCAAAATTATTCTAAATTCTTCATTCCTTTGAACTGAATACTCTGTAAAGAGAAAAACGACCCATTGCATTACTAAGTTTATTGAGATCAGTTGAAATGAATTGATTCATAGAACTCTTTAAAATTAAGGCATTAAAATAAGTAAACAACATATAATCTTTTATCTTTTTTTAAATTGCATAAGCAGTGCTTTTTATTTATTTAGTTTCTTTTGTTTTGAGGCAGGGTTTCCCTGTAGCTCAAGCTGGCTTGGAACTTGCTATGTAGAACAGGCTGGGCTGAATCTCACACGGATCTGCCTGCCTCTGCCTCCCAAGTGCTAGGATTAAAAGCAAGTGACAGCATGCTTGGCACCATAATCCTTTTCTGGTGGCCTTTAATATGACCATCAAATCTTTGCCATCCAATTTCTTTTTTTCTTCTTTTTTGGTTTTTTTGAGACAGGGTCTCCCTGTAGCTCCAACTGTCCTGGAACTCACTATGTAAACCAGGCTGGCCTCAAACTCACAGAGATCGCCTGCCTCTGCCTCCCAAGTGCTGGGATTAAAGGTGTGTGCCACCATGCCCGGCTGGCATCTAATTTCTTATTATCAAAATGTTTTTTTAAGTTTTTTAGAGAATTTCATACATGAGTACCATATTACATCATTTCTACCCCCCCAACTCTTACTCCCTCTCGATTTGTGTGCCCTTTCATGTAAGCCAATATTTTAAATTTTAAAAATTTAGCAATAATTTTTTTTGAGACAGGGTGTCTCTTATGTAGCCCAAGCTGGCTTTAAACTCACTTTGTAGCCCAGGATGACCTTGAGCTTCTGATCCTTCTATCTCCACTTCTTCAGTCATGGGATTATAGGTGCCAGTACATCTGGTTTTATGCAGTGCTAAGAATGGCACCCAGGGACTCAAGCATGCTAAGCAAGCACTCTACCAACTTAGCTTCATCTCCAGCCTCCCAGTAAATTGTTTTCCCCCTTTGGTCTTTTGAGACAGGGTTTTCCTATAGCCCCAGCTGGTCTGGCACTAGCTATACAGACTAGGTTGGCCTCAATCTCAAAGAGATCTGACTGCCTCTGCTGGGACTAAAGATGTGTGACAGAAGAGGCTGTCGGATCCCCTGGAACTGCAGTTACAGACAGTTGTTAGCTGCCATGTGGGTGTTGGGATTCGAACCTGGATCTTCTGCAAGAGCAGTCAGTGTTCTTAACTGCTGAGCCAACTCTCCAGCCCCCCACTTTTTTTTCCAGAAATACTTTTGTTTGTTTGTTTGTTTGAGACAGGGTCTCCCAGTAGCCTCAGCTGGCCTGGAACTCACTATGCAGACCAGGCTGGCCTCAAACTCACAGAGATCCGCCTGCC